GGTTTCGCCCCTGGTTGTATTACAACTACAACATTTTATTTTCACAAATGTCATATATTAATCTTAAAACATCTCTATCCTATTAAAACAAATAATATGTAGCTGAATAAAGGATGATATTTTTATAGCTATTTGATTAATAAAGAAAAGGAAGATAACAACAGTATCGGCAAGAAAAAAAAAAAAAAGACCAACTCACTTCGTGAAATCCTCCACACCAGATGAACGTGATTTTCTTCTTGCCTGCTCGACCGGAATGAGTTCATCATTGAAGAAACACATTGTGTTCACTGATTCTACAGGACAAACAACAAAATTAGTATTAGTTCCGGATAAATATACGACATATATAATATATATACCACAAATGTACTCTATACAGTTTTTGAAAACTACTAGTCAATAAACAATATATATATACAAAAAAAAAAGAAATATACAGTATATATACCTGGTTTGCCTTGGTTGTCATCTTTTGAACGTACAATTTCATCTTAAGATTGCTTTATATAGTGTTTGTGAATGTCAATAAAATGACTCAAAAATGACAAAAAAAATAAAAAAATGAAACAAAGTAGAGACATGTACAATTAAGCTCTCCTTAAGATAAATAACCCTATATATATTACCTACGGTTCATGGCTAACGCTCTCTATAGAAGAATATGGCGCCTTTAGTCGCCAACATCATCACTTTAAATATTTAACAATTATCATATTTTATAATCGTTACACAACATGTGTATAATAATCTCATTGTGATATTAACACATCGTTTATGCATATGTAACAAATGTTTGTTGACTATTACGTTCACATTCGTCAAGCTACATTTATATTTATCAGTTATTATTTCTTTATTCGTCCTCACATATTTTATTATTATTATTATTATTATTATTATTATTATTATTATTATTATTATTATTATTATTATTATTATTATTATTATTATTATTATTATTATTATTATTATTATTATTATCTTGATTTCTAGCTTACACTAAACTAATCCATAATTAAGCCACCAACATACATAGCGCTTTTAAATTAAATGAGCCTCGCTCGGCCCGACTCATTTGGAATCGAGTTCGAGGCTTTAACGAGCTGATCTCAAGCTCATTTAAATCTCGTTTAATTCACGAGTCGAGATTGGCTCGACTCAATAAATCTCAAAAAGAGAATTTTTATATATATTTTTTTTATAGTTCGACTCGTTAAAGTCCAGATCGGTTCATTAAGAGATCGAGGCCTTAACGAGCCAAGCTCGAACTCGATTTCTAACTCGTTTATTTAATGAGTCGAGCTCGCCTCGACTTATTAAGTTCTTGAGCTCGAGCTCGAGCACCTTAAGTTCAAGCTCGGCTCGGCTAAAGTATAAGAATGTCTCACATATGTTATTTGAGTCCCTGATGCATTGTGAACTTAGTAAAAGGATATATTATTATCTCATCTATACATATATAAAGAGAGAACCTATTTACTAAAAATAATAACAAGAAAAATCAAATAACAGTTATTCCATTCTATTTTTTTGCAGTTTTTTTAATTTTTATTTTTAATTATTCCCAAAAATTTAGCAACTATATGCACCCTAAATTTATGAGTTTTGTAGATTTGATTGAGGTAAATTTTGACTGATGCTTACAATTTTGCAAAAGTCAAAATTCTTTTTCATTTTTAAATAAAAAAAACAAAACTGATTACCATAAAATCGAGAATTTCGAATAAGGCAAAATATTGTTTCATGTATCTTTTTCTAATTGCAACAGATCAATTTTTTATTAAAAAAATCGGATTGCATAGAAATTAAGTTAATTTAGGTAAAATTCGGCATGAAAATTTTGTAAAAATCAAAACCCTCTCATTTTTTATTTAAAAAAAAATTGTTTACCATAAAATCGAGAATTTTGAATAAACAAAATATGTTGTATCTTTACCTAATTGCAACAAACCATGTTTATTAAGAAAAAAATCAGATTGCATAGAAATCGAACCAATTTGAAATTGATAATTAAAATTCAAAAATCTCATATCATTTGGCTACTACTTTCTTTACTTTATTTTTTATTTTTTAACATGAAAGAGAGTTTGATAATATTAATTTGAAATTCAAAATGAAATCGGAACATCCTACAAATTTGGATTTTGTTTGATCCTATAGAATACAAATTTGAAATTGATTGCATACACGTACACAATTTTTTCCTTCCTTCAATTAAGTAATTTACATTTTTAAAATAATAAGGCTAAAAATTATCAAGAAATACGTTTTACAATCTTCATTATATTTGGCCATGCAAGCTTCATAAAACCAGTATAACACTCATACCATATATATCTTGCTAAATAATTTAACTGATTTATTTAAGCCTATTTCGAATCATAATATATATAGGTAGCAATTGTTTATTTTCTTAGATACGGTTTACACAGAGGTACGTTGTTTTCTGTTTAACAATATATAAGTTACATTTTGTTTTATTCTAATAAATGGTTTTTACGTTTTTTCAATCATCTAAATATAAATGCTTTCCTTACTAATATTAGTCCGAGCATCGCACCGGTACACGCACTAGTTCCTAATAAGCACACGCACTGTACAACAATTAATCCGAGTTGTCATATTGGTTGTTAGCTCCGTAACGGAGCCAACAATTGGCTCTTAGCATTCCTGTCCAACCTTAATCCCCATTTAAGTGTTTTTCTGAAAAAAAATAAAAAATTGTCAAAGAACAGAAAAATAGCAGCGAAAGAAATATCTGAAAACGAACTCTCTTTCTCCCTCTTCTCGTTCTCGCTCGTCTGCAACACAGCAACAGAGCAAGTCATTGTAAATGAAGTTGGCTTTGGTAAGCAGTTTCAGCAGCAGCCCTCCAATCCATGTTCGCGCACTCAGTAAATTTCATGGTGATTTTCGTACACAAATCCATTGTACTTGCAGATGTTCACCAAAATTCATATCTCATTAGGTCTCACCTCTTTCTTATTTATAAACAAATATTCTTCTGATAGTAACTCGTTGTGAGGAGCATTCGACTATTCTCCAGTATGAGCCTGCTAATGGTGATAATACATCGCTTTCCATGGTTAGAAGAATTGATTTCATGAGTGCAGTCATAAGTTGTTCTGCAGGTACTATTCGTGTGTGCTTGTGTGTGTTACCCATTTATTTGCACCATATGCTGTTGAAATCTCAATATGGATTTGTTGGATAATAATATCAGGAATGATTAAAGATTCAGAAGTAATTTTATTTGCTTGTTGAGTTCTAGTTTGTAGCAACACTGAGCATTGCATATCGGATTACTGCAAAAAATTACGCTCTAATCGACCTTTAAATGTTTTGCAGCAACTTCGATTGCAACTCCAGTAGCGAATGCTCTAACTACGGAGACTATCAGAGTAAGAAATTTGACTGTCAGTGATAAAAATAATTAAATCTCATCCGGTAGTCATCTCTTGCTGCTTATGGTTTATTCTTTCCAGTCCCTTGAGGAAGTCCCAACTCTCTCCCACACAAACAATTTCCATTGTTAAACGTTTTAGAAAGCAAACAATTTCATTTCGAAGTTGTGCCTACAACACGAACTAGTCCAGAAATATTTCCCGATGTTTGCTAATTCCATTGCTTGATTGTTGGAGTGCCTCTATCTTGTTGATGTTGATTCATATAGTTGGCCTCGATATTTTTTTTTTTTTTTTATCTTCATTACTGCCCGTATCCCCTTCTGTGAATTTTTGGGAATTATGGGGAAGGTCTTAGCATTCTCAGTTATTTGATTAAAAGTTAGAACACTCGTTTTGGCGACTCAAGGTCTTCATAGCTTGCCTTTTTTTCTGAATAGTTATTACGTTGGAGTAGGCGGTCACTTGTAGCATGGGAATTGAAAATGATACATCATGGTTGAACAACTTGCACTACGCACCACACTTATCTCTGTTTTAACGTAATTTGAAGATGTCTTTCAGCGGGCATTTGATTGCTTATACTTTTCCATCATCATATTATTTTTGGGGATCAGCAATTGCCAGGTTCTTTGTATACTCTTGCCGAAGGGAGCAATGGAGATTGGCTTTCCGGTCAACTATTTTCAGCTGGACAACAAGCTAACATAGCTGTGCAGGACCAGCTGTCAGCCCTCAGTTTTACTAGGTTTTGTTTCTATTTCATATTTATTCTGCTTTGAATAAGGTGTACTGTTGATATTGCAAAATTTTAATTTCTTGTAGATTTTACTTATATCTATAGTGCAGTTTGGCAGTCATTTTCGGGGCCGGGCTTGTGACTAGCCTTTCACCATGTACACTGAGTGTTTTGCCCCTTACCCTTGGTTACATAGGTAGGAAAACTTTTGGCTTAAAGAGTCTCATCTCTGCTACAATATAGACTACATAGCCCTTGGATTCTTACCTTCTTTATGTTCTTCTTTGTTTAGGGGCATTTGGCTCAGGAAAAAGCAGAACAGAGGTAAGTGAATTATTTTACATAATTATAAAATATATGCAATAGCATGGACATTTATATTTTTCTCATATTCTATTGAATACCCTGGAATAATCAGAAAATGATATTAAATTATTAAGGGCTTTGTTAACAATAGTGGATAAATGATTAGCTAGAAGGATCAGAATTTGAAGGTTGAAGTGTGAGTTCTTATACATAAAATTCTAAATATTGCGTTAATATCAGTTTGTGTACATTTATGCAAAATAGCGTCATTTATATTTTCTCACCCCGAAATTCTGTATAACTTTTGGATTTTTAAAATGGACAGGCTATTGGTAATTCAATTTCTTTTGCAATGGGGTTGGCAACTACACTGGCTCTGCTAGGCGTAGCAGCTTCATTTGCTGGAAAGGCTTATGGCCAAATAGGGCAGGGACTACCTTTGGCTGCTTCTATTTTAGCAATTGTCATGGGCTTAAATCTTTTGCAGGTAAATAATACTGCTACTGATGTTTTATATCTTTTCGTTAAGCACTTAATTCGAAAGGAACTTTTTGACATTTTGATCATCACACAGAACTGATGCCCTTATATGCTGAATATTCTCACAATGTGTTATTTAATTAAAATAAAAGCATTGAAGTGAGCATAGCTGCAAACTTGCAGGATGATTGGCGTTTTAGCAGTCAGTAGTCCTCGGTTTCATAAAAGTGCTTTAACTTGTAAAACTTTATTTTAGTCGGTCATAAAGTGATTGCTCTGATAGAGAGATTTCCTTTCGTGTTGCAAAAAGAAACTGATCATTTTCATTTTTTCGTATAAAAAATTCTCAGTTTCTTGATATTCTTGCCTTTACATGTTAAAATTATTTGTCTTGGAACATCTTGGTTCTCAAATCAGCACTCAACATATTAAATTATTTCAGCACAAACTTTGTTATCAAAAAATTTGTTAGTAATTTGAGAGTGATCTTCCCCATGAACATGTTACTGAGTTGATATTACTATACTTGAGGATTTAGAACCCACTCTCACCCCACTACCGTGAATTTACCACTCTTAATATTTGATATTAGTCATAACGATCTTCTCTTTACTGATGCAGGTTGTTGAATTGCAGCTCCCATCTTATTTCAACAACTTCGATCCCCGTGCCGCTGCTTCTAATTTTCCTTCAAGTAATTAAGCTTCCTAACGTAACAGTCATTTGATTCGGAAGTAACATATTAGTTGCCTCACTTATGCCTCACTCATCAGGTGTCCAAGCATATTTGGCTGGACTAACCTTTGCATTAGCGGCATCACCTTGCAGCACACCAGTGCTTGCGTCCTTGCTTGGATATGTTGCCTCGACCAGGGTACTCATCATCTTATTTCCCTTTTTTTTTTATCATTTTCTATGTGGAAATTAAGAGTGTAAATTTTGTGTTTTTTCTTCGATCTTCATGGTGTTTGTCAATTGATGCTTTTATATGTGGAAACAAACTTAGGGCATAAATTGGATAGGTTATTTATTAAAAACAAAATCCTTACATATTTGTATTTATTCTGTTGATGAATTTTTGGCTCTATCATGTTAGAATTAAAAGTAATCTTCCAAACTTATGATATCATAAAGAGGGAATATTTAATACACAGGATCCAGTGGTAGGGGGGAGCCTTCTTTTGACGTACACAACAGGATATGTCGCTCCTCTTCTTCTCGCTGCTTCTTTTGCTGGAGCTCTGCAGGTACTAATTTAATGCATCATAAATCTAACGTTACTATTCGAAAGATGGCGAAAATTAGCTACAATGTTTGAGATTTCAAAAATTTCAGTGCAGTTTTGGTGAAATCTATGGCTTTGCAAGAGGCCGATTTAGTTTGTTTGTATCCCTACACTATACTCATCTTACGAATTTGCCAATTTAATACAGAGCCTTCTTTCATTCCGCAAGTTTTCAGCATGGATCAATCCAACAAGGTACTTAGTAAAACTTTATTCTGGGTTGATTACTTAAAGTATCCTTGAGATTTACGACATTCATCAGTTAAAAGAACATTTCACAATGCCCTCACACATTTATAAAAGGTTGACAGTTAGCCCTTTATTTTATCACTGAATTAAAACCTTGGGGCAAATTCATGATTGTGAAAGTTATTGCTGTTGTATTATTTGATTAGGCCATCCCAAGCACATTCTTTGTTTTCTTTTTTCATGTCAATGCTTGGATGACTTCTAGTTGTTCTCCTGTGCTTTCTAATATTGAAATTCGATTTTTCCTTTTAGTGGTGCCCTCCTCCTGGGTGGGGGTGTGTATACCCTGCTGGATAGACTTTTCCCGGTTACTATGGCTATGTGATCTACCTTGAAACTTGGTGGAAATCCGAACATTGGAGATGTTATATGGCGTAGTTTAGCTTTATATGACAACCAAGTTTTATCTCTGCAAATCTGAACGACCATAGACTGTACAGAATAATGTTGTACAATGCTACAATGTTGATAACTCGAAGCATATGGAAATTGTGCAGATTCTCCTTCATGGTTTGTATTTACTATGGATTTCCCGCCAAAAAAATATTGCTTACTTATTATGAAATTTTTTTAAACATTTTTTTGCTTTTGGTAAATTTTTCTTGCATGCATGTTTATTTTTATTTAGGTAATGTCATATCAATGATTGATTTGAATCTATTGATTAATTTGTTTTTTAATAAAAATTATTTAATTATTTATTTCAACATAATGTATTTCTATTTTTAGTGACGTAATATTAATAATGTGGGAGATTATCTTTTTCAAATTTACAATCATTCATTCAATGTCTAGCTGATCTAGAATTTCATTTGAATTGAGAATAAGTACGGTTATAGATTAATCACTTCAAAAATATTTGTTTGTTAATTAGAAAAATAAAATAAAATATTTCGTTGAACGCTAAAATAGGAAATTCTCTAACTATGATTTGTATTTTTTCCTATTGAGTTTCTACATAGTTGTATTTTTTTTTTTATTTTTTTTTCATTATTCCTATTAGGTATTATTGTCATTTTTCTTGAAACCCTTAATACTTAATAACATTTTTATTTGTTATCAATTTTTGTGTATAATTTAAAATAAACTTATATGTGACGATCTTAAAAACTAATTGTTAATTTAAGTATCTGTAAATTTATTTGTTAATATTGCATATATAAAATGACGTAAATTTATAATTCAAATTCTAATTCACAAATTGTTAATTAGTCTCAAATTATCCACAAAATAAGGTATAAATATATGTAGAATAAAATATATTTAATATAAATTAATCAAAAATAGTAGTTAGTACATTTATCATTCATGGGTCTAAAACAGTAATACTAAATAAGTTATAAAAGTATAAGTAAACAATTATTTCGAGGATCAAGATATTAAAATGATAAAATCAATTAGCATTTTTCGAATTGTCATGCAAATTATTTGATTGTAATGAATCAAAATTTCTATAATATTTGTTGTTATAATTAAGATAAACCAATGAGTAATCAGTCGAACTGCCATGTAAATTATAATATGTATTATTAATGATGACAAACCAATCCATTAAAATTTATTAACATAGAAGAAAATATTAAAGATTTATAATATTTTTTTTTTCTCAAAAGATTTATAATATACATTATTACAATATTAACCAACAAGTCATGTATCGTACAATGAAATACATCGTCAACCTAGAAAAAAATTCAAAATATGTATATTGTTATAGATTATAATGATAAAACCGTTGGTGTCCAATTTTCATGAATTATTTAGTAGCCAAAAAAAAATTATAGTATACATTATTATAAAGGTAAAAAATTATTTTAACGTAATTAAAAATTTCTAAATTTTAAAGCTTTAAAATAATATACGTTATGTTTTTTTTTTTAAAAAAAATAATTAAGTGTTAGTCTATAATATTTTCTATAATTTTTTAATTTTGCCATCACTTATTTAGGAATCAAAATAATTTAAAAAGACTGCAATTTTATGATGGGTGAAATAAATATATAAATAATATATTAAACTATTATACATCATAATAAATTAATATTAATAATCAAAATTATCTTTATACCAGTGAATATTATTTTGTTGCTATAATTTAAAGAATAGGTTTTTATTGTCATATGCATCATAGGGTTATGTACTAATCTGGTGAAAATTGTTAGTCTCGATGTGTAACAAACAAAATATACTATTACGTCTAACTCTCCAGTCCATACATGGAAATCATTGGTTAAACATTTTTATTTATAATAGCATTATGCCCGTGCAATGTACGAAGTGTATTTTCAAAAAATATTATTATTATTATTATTATTATTATTTACAGTTACTTTTAGAACATACATATTTAACAGTTTAATATATGTGATTTTTTTTCATAAGCTTATCAAATGTTGTGAATGCCTTATAATATTGTTATATAAGATATTTGTATATAAATATATAAATAACTACATTTTTGTATATTTATATTTCTAATATTATTAATTTAACAACCCAAAATTCATATTCGGTTCAATAAAATTTTTATCTCATCAAATAATTGACTCATCGAGGTTGTCGGTCGAACCGCCTAATCTCGATTGCGTGAGAGTTGAGACATCTCGATCGCCTTCGTCTTCAAGAACCGGATCGACCTGCAAAGCGCCGGGGCCCGACACTCCGCTCAAGTCAGCAAACAGATGTTTAATCGTGTATTTCAGTAATCTTAAGAGCTTAGGTCTAGAAATTGAACCTGAGATCCTTATTTATAAGGATTTAACGGCTTATTCCACAAGAAAAAAGGATATCCTTCATAGTCAAGGATTCTGATCACCCATAATAACTATGTAGATCCATAAATATCTTTTAGGATTATTTAAATCTTCATGGATATTTTTAACCAATACCATATATCGAATAATTATGGCTCTACGCTTCCTTGGACCGGCCTCATCCGAGCTAACCGCTCAGAACGGTCTACCGAATTATTTTTGGTGCTACATCAGATTGTATGAAATATCATCCAATTGATAGTTAAATTTTGATTTTAAAAATTTTATTTATTTTAACTTTATTTAATG